GTCAGGAAAAAGCTGAATCGATTCACTCCCCCCCCCCCCCCCCCCCCAAGTCAAGACAAAAATCTAGCAGTACAGAGACATCCTGCTCCGCCGCATGGCCTCACTGATCAAGTAAGCAGGACTCAGTTCTGGTTCTTCAGTCATAATCACAATGTTCTGCCATTCACCCAACTGGTTGGATCTCTTAATGGTGTCCACCACACACAAAGCATAGAGACAATCGTCAAAAGTGGCAGCCATTGTGAGTGGCCGTCCGTCCCAGGTTCGTCGGTCGTCTTGATCTTCAAATGCCTCCCTGACTGCTTGTACCATCTTTATGGTGCCCCGGAGGTACGGAGATGGGATGTCGCTGAAGGCCTTCTCAGGTAACAAGGCATTGCTGACTGGGGCAGAATCCTTCAAGAGGAGCTCTTTCTGTGGAGAGTTATTGCTTTGTCCATACAAATCAGTGCCGACTGCAATTAGTCGCCCACTTGATCCAATCACTACAATATCTTGTTTAAATTCTCCCGGCATGTTGAAATTAAGAGTAACAGTGCAGCACACCCCACCTTCTAAGACCATCTGAAATGTACAGAAGTCATCGCTCGTAATTTGCCGTATTCCCTTAATGTGGTCGGTCTGTTTCACAAAGGTCTTAAGAAGTCCATGAACTTTCACTGCTTTCTGACTGGTGAGGAAAGTCAGGAGATCAATGATGTAGGTACCAACAGAATGCAACCCTCCACCTCCCATTAGATCATCGCAGCTCCAGTTATATTTCTTCCCCAGCAGGCTTCCACTGTGAACCTGTACCTCACACACAAGCAGTTCTCCCACATAGCCTTCTTGGATCAGCTGCTTCATCTTCACAAAGGCAGGCAGGAAACGGAGAACGTTGCCCATGATGCTCATAAGTTTGGGATAATAGTGGGCAGCTGTCATCATCCGAAAGGCATCCAGGGGAGTGGCTGTTCTATCACAAATGACATTCTTCCCAATCCCTATTAGATATTAAAGAAAAGAAAAAAAACACAGGCGAATTTAGAATATGCTGTGGTACAAAGTACAAAAATAGAAATCAAGATAAAGCTACAAAGAAAAAAAAATTAAAAACAATTTCAGGAGGGCACGACAAACTTTCTTCCCTTTTTTGTTTGTTAATTGTTTCACTTACAATAAAGACGAATTTGAAGGGTCTCAGTTGGCAAAAGGGAAATTTTGCAAACAGACATTATCCTATATTGATGCTTACAACTCTTCATTTTATATCTGAATTTTCTTTAAATTTTATATTAACATATACTAACATACTCAGCTGTATCATTTATAAAGGAAATCTGAGCTTAACAGAATTCCTTCCATTTTCCACTTTTATGGCCTAAAATGATATCATATACTGGATAATAATCTAAAATGACAAAACAATACTGTTGAAAATGTTGAGATTGTTGCATGAGTTATCTCAAGGAAAATAATTCTCGGAAGTTGTGGGAGCGCCATCACTTGAGACTTTCAAGAAGAGATTGGATTGCCATTTGTCAGAAATGGTATAGGGTGTCCCTCTTGGGCAGGGAGGGTTGGACTAGATCAGTGGTCCCCAACCTTTTTTGTACCAGGGACCGGTTTCAAGCAGAAACATTTTTTCAAGGACCGGGGGGGGGGGGGGGGG